TTTTTTTTTTTTATTATTAATGATCTTATTGATAAATTTTGTATTTCGTTATTAATGAAGTACTATATATATATATATATATTGATTTAAATTAAAGCTTTCCACTCGGGATATGGCTTTATTCAACATTTGATAATGTTGACGGTAAACAAGCACGCAGAACAGGAAGTTCGTCACCTCTCGGAGAACTTTTTGATCACGGCTGCGATGCTTTGAATTGTTCCTTTGGTCCATTAGTTTTTTCAGCTGCATTAGGGTTGGGACACAGTTATCGCTCTGCAGCTTTTTTCCTTTTATCAGTTATTCCTTTTTTTTTCTCTACTTGGGAAACATATCATACCGGTGTTTTATACTTAGGATATATTAACGGTCCTACCGAAGGACTAATAGTGGCTTGTCTTTTACAACTTTTATCAGCCATTGCAGGTATCCAAACAGTAAATTGTCATTATTCAATCTATTCTCTTTATTTAAAAAAGGACTCTTTTATGGGGTTTGATAATAGGGCCAGAATGGTGGACACAAGATTTACGAGATCTATTTGAAGACTCAGTGCCATCGTTTATTCCAAAAGGATGTACTTCTGCAGATGTATTACTAGTTGCAATGGCTTTTTCAGTGTGTACGTTACATATTCCTGCAAGGTAAGCTCAATTTTTATTTTATGGAATATTAAACGGTTCTTTTTTAAAACTCGTAATGTTTATTTCCTTATAGCTTTTATAACGTGTACGAGGCTCGTAAACGAAGAGAAGAATCTTATCTTTCGGCATTATCTCAACTTTTTTCAATAGCTATATATACACTCTGTGCATATTTTTGGCTTGTATCTCCTCATTCATTTATTTTAAGAGATCAACACTTTATCCTATTCGAATTAACGCTCGGTATCGTATTTGGACGTGTCGCTACTAAAATTATATTGGCACATGTAACCAAAATGAAATTCCCGATGTATACAGTATTGTTAATTCCTTTGTTTGGGGGCGCGGTATTAACAAATATTCCCGTTTTATTTAACACGTGAGTTTTTTTATCACGAAAAAAATATTTTGTTATGGGAATCAAATTAATTTTCTAATTATTCAAAATTTTTTACAAGTGGTGAAATTTTGTCACGCAAAGGCGAGTACTATTATCTGTGGGCTTACTCTATTTTTGCCACAGTTGCCTACTTCCACTGGGCCATTTTAGTTATAAAAAGATTTTGTTCGTATTTAAAAATTAAATGTTTCAGTATTCCATATGGAAAACAAGGTCCGAAAAAAATTACGTAATTATCTTTTTTTCCTTTCCCTTTCAGAATATTTAAAGGATTCTGAAGAAAGAAATGCATTGACTTTTCATTGCATATTTATTAATTTAAAATATTCTGATATTTAACTTTTAGATGAAGATGAACGTGTTGAAGATGAACGTGTTGAGGAACAGGAAGAGGAGCGGGAAGAACTTCTATCATAAGATAACTTTTTTCTGATATGTGTCAGATTAATCTTGTTATGTAATTCTTTTTTATTACATTTGTAGGCCTTACTTGTTTCTTATTAATCATAGATTTTTTCAGTTTAATGGAATTATTTATTACATATTAGAAAAGTGAAATCTTTGCATATTTTGTTTGGCTTATTAAATGAAAAAAATAATATTAGTGAGGGTTATGCAAACTTCATGATGTGATATGCATAGGTTGTATTATTTGTGATATATAATGGCTAATTAAAGATTTTAGCACATAGTTTAGTAATTTTTAGTTTTCTGATTATTGAAGTTAATAAATATACAATTATTAAATTCAGTTTGAAATTTTCAATTTAATTGGATTTGAAATAATACTTTATAGTATTATACAAATAATTAATAGAAAATCAATATAGAATATTATAGATTATTATTATGATTTTCAATTGGTAATACAGTCATCCTCCTATATAATCACACCCTTCGGGACCATAAAAAAATGGTGTGACTATAAAAATTATATATAATGTGATTAAAGGGAAGGTTTTTTTAATAAGTTTATTAGTAACTTAGGATTAATGTAAATGTGCTTATAAGGGAGTTGTGATTATACAGGGGGTGACTATATGGGAGGACGACTGTACAACTTATAATAATTTTTATATTTAAACTTATTCACATTAATTATATAAAATAAGTAAATAATAATAAAATAAAATTTATATTTAATTTATTATTATTTTATATAAAAATTCTATAAAAAAATCTTTCATATAATATTAAATTTATATTAAGTGTTCTGCACAAATTGATTTGTGACATAGTGTGACCCTGATTGATCCTGAAGGGTAAAATAAAAAAAGATCATCAATATTGAATTGAATTACTAGATCTTAAGATATATTTTTTGGAGTCTAAATTAAGTCTGAATCAAATCAAATTTCAGAAAAAAAATTTGATTTGTGTAGAACACTAATGTAATTTAATAATTATAATCAAAAGTTTAAAGAATTAGATGTTAGCTAAACTTATAAAATATTAATATATTTGCCAATTTAAGAAATTTATTCTTGTATAAGAAAAATAAATCAAAAAATATATGTAAAAGAATTCCTAAACTCTTTATAAATTTACCTATAATTTGAAAAAAAATATTTTTTTAATTAATTTATTAAAAATAAACCAAAATATTTAACAAAAAAAAAAATTTAAAAAAATCAATTAAAAAATAATTAATGACAAAATTTAAATAGATTTTAATTAAATTATTGGTTAAAATTATATTTTTTAATAAAATTAAAAAAAGTTTTATTAAAATATTACATTATAAGTAAAATCAATTATATCAGTTAAAATTATTATTAATAAAACATATAAATTATAATAAATTATAGCATTATATTATATTTGTAATAATTCAAAAATTTAATATATTTATTTACTAAATTTATTAAAATTTGGCAATTATTTAATAATATTTAAAAGTTATTTATTGAAAGATTTTTTTATAAATTATTAAAATTAAAAAAAATTAAAAAAAAATAATTACAAGTTATATCTAATGCAAAATAATTGGCATATATATTTGTAAAAATTTTCAATTTATTTAATATAAAAGCTAATAAGAAAGTTGATAAATTGATAGGAAATCAAAAAAAAATTTACAAAAGAAAATTTTTTATTATTATTTTATTAAAATAATTTTTTAATACTTATATTATATAATTATGTAATACAATATAATTTATTTTATAAAATATATTACTATTTATTAATTCTGATTAAAATTTTGATAATCACTTATATAACTAATATAAAAACAATAACAAAATCTTGACAATCTAAAATTCTAATAAATTATTATATTGACAATTTTGTAAATCTAATAATATGTATTTTAATAAAATAATTTGTTTCAATATGTAATATTTAATTTAAATATATTATAATTTTATTATAAAACTATCAGAATAATTAACTTATTAGTATATAATGATTTATCAGAATTATTAATTAATTTTATGTTAATCATTTAAATAATTTTTAAGATTTTGTATTAAAATTAATTACTATAATTATTATATAATTTCTAATTAATTTTATAAATTAGTAAAATAAATACCATAAAGTTCTGAATATAAGCAACCTTTTTTTATTATAGGGATGCTTATATTTAAGTAAATTTATATATTTGGTATATTATAATATTGCCCAAAATTATCATAGTATTAGTCAAAGATGCTTATTTTTGGGTAATATAAAAATCTGGGAATGCTTATATTCAGAAGGTGCTTATAATCAAGACTTTACAGTAGTTTATTTTTTATAAAATTTTAATTTAATATAAATAATAAAATTGAATTTTAAATCTAGTTTCAACTATAGATTTTTTTAAAATATTAATTTTTATAAAGTATATTACTTTTTTTTAATCAAAAGTATATTAATTTTTTTTTAATATTATTATTTTTTTACTATTCATTTAACTGGCTAAATAGATTATAAATAATTTATATATTTGCATAATAATTTTTATAATTTTTTAAAAAAAATTATTTTTAATATGAATTTTTCTAAAAAAAATTATTAGTAAAACTTATTTATTAAACATTTTTTTTATATATTAATGCCTTATTAATAATAATAAAATATAATTTATTATATTATTAAAATATATAGATTTATTATTTGTAAAAAAATTTTTTATGGTAAAATAATAGTAATAATTAGGGCAATAACATATATTAGCTAATATTTTAGGAGGTGAAGGAGTAAACATTACTATTAAAATAATATTAGTTAATATATGTCACTGCCCTAAATGTATTATATAAATAAAAGGAATTATTTTTTATTTTTATTTTTTTTTATGTTTTAGGAGACATCAGCATAGTCGGTTCACTAGAGCTACATGGAGGGAGCACTACAACTTAAAGTTGCGGAAATGCACTCCTACCGTTGAGCGACAGCTAATAAAGCACCTACTCTAATTATTTAGAAGTAACCGGATGTACATCCCCCCTACCCCTATATACCACACTGGGGAGACGACCCAAGTTTATACCCACACAAGGATGGATCGTAGTGTAGCAGGGTTTCTGACACAGTTATACTACCCACTAGCGTCCGTCATAAGTGAGCAACCACCCACGTATGGCAGATATAACAGAGCAGACATCTAGAAGTCCTTCCATGATGGTTAGCTTAGAGGTACTGCAATACTAAGACTACTAATATGGCCTCACTCAAAGCCCACTACAGGACACAATTACCATACAAGCCCACCATAGTTGTAAATCCCCCAGTAGTAATAGTAGTGACTACTAGGACAGTAAGCTGCTAAGGGTACTGGGATCACCCCTTTATTATAAGTAACCAACCCAGTTACCCAGGATAAAAGGAATTATTATTTAACCAGTATAAGGTATATTTAATTTATAATATATCTTCAAATAAACAATCAATTTAAAAGTATAATAACAAATAAAAAACAGACTTTTAAATAATTTATATACAAAAAAAAAAATATGTTTATACAATTAAACAATTATTTAATTACTTTGAATATATTAATCTGTATTAGTTTCTAATAGGCTTAATTCGAATTGTCAATAGATTACAATCAACCAATATTTCACTAGAGTCAGATTTATTATAATTCTTTAGCTAATCTTTCTAATAAACTTTGAACATTACCAACATTATCAAGGCAGTATTTTGCTTCAGTTTGTTTTTTACCAACTGTACTAGTAATACTATCAGGTGAAATTTCTTTTAATAAAGAAAATACTGGTTCATCAGTTTTGCCATCTCCAATACACAGAATAAAATCTACTTCATCCTGTGGTTGATGTAAATCTTTAAGGATAGCCCGTACTGCTGTTGACTTATCAACCGCAGATGGTCGAATTTCCAAGGTCTTATTACCAAGTACAATCTATATAAGCACAAAAATAAGCAATAAGCATACATATAATTTTTAAAAAAAATTGAATAAAACACATACTGATAAAGCCATATGAGATAAAAGTTTTTCTAAATTAACTTGAAGTTCAGTTGCTTGCCATGAACCAAATTCCGGATCAGCACTACGATAGTGCCATGTTACATTAATTTCCTTAATTTCAATAAAAGATCCAGGTGTTCTCTCCTTATAATGTTCAAATAGCGGAAGAATAGTTTCCTTCCATGCAGGGTCAACTTGTTCCACAAGTCTATACCATCCATTACCTTCATCTTTGATTGTTCTTCCTTCAGATAAACAATTTGCAACTGGATCAACTTCTCCTTTTAACCATTCAGGATGTTTATAAAAACATCCGTGTTCGGCAGAAAGACCAATTCCAGTTGAATCAAACCATTTATCAAGGTGTTCCCTTCCGCGTCCAGATAATATATAAACACATGTATTAGGTTTAGATTGAAGAGCTTTAAGAGTTAAAAGAACATTATTGGATGGACCTGCAAATTCAGGTAACTTGTGATCGGCTGTTAGAGTACCATCGTAATCTAATAAGATTACCCTCTTCTTTTTAGAATTCTTTGCAGCTTCTACTACTGGATTAAATTTCAATACTGGAAGCCGCATATGATGAGCATATGCATCACTAACACGCTGTAAAATCATAAAGATTAAAACATACGTAACAAGAAAACGGTTAAAAAGACATCATATATTTACCCTTAATTCATTGACAAAGCTCGAACCCCAATAAGCCGCGGTATATTTAGTAACATACCGGTATAATTTTTCGTAATTCGATTTACGTATGTCTTCAGGCATAGTAACAGCCTCATGAATAGCATTAGCGAGTTCATCAGTGTTCCATGGATTAACAATGATAGAACCTTTAAATCAAAAATAAATAATTTTAAAGCTAGTTTTATTGTTAAAATACGCACGAATAATAAATACCATTTAATGACTGAGCAGCACCAGCAAATTCACTAAGAATCAATACTCCATGTTTTTTTTGTTGACATGATACGTATTCATATGACACGAGATTCATACCATCTCTTGTTGATGAAACTAAGCAGGCATCTGATACTGAATATAAAGCCACCAATTCTTCAAATGGAATAGATTTGTGCATGAAATGAATTGGCATAAATTCGACAGTTCCAAATTTGCCATTGATCCTTCCGACAAGTTCATTGACATTAGCGCGTAAATTTTGATATTCTTCTACGTCTTGTCTAGAAGGCACAGCTACTTGAACAAGTACAACTTTACCAATCCATTCGGGATGTTGACTTAAGAATACTTCAAGTGCATGAAACTTTTGTGGAACACCTTTGATGTAATCAAGGCGATCTACACCAACAATAAGTTTAACATCCTTAAATTTTGACTCCAAAGTCTTAATTCTTTCTTGAACCTTTTGAAGTTTTAAACCCTAAGTAATAAATAAAAATCAATGGCAAACATAAATATTATGAATCGAAATACATAATCAACACTATCAACCAATATTATCATTTATGCTTACTTCAGAAAATTTTTCAGGGTCAATACCGATGGGAAATGTACCAACATGTACATGTCGGCCTTCATAATCTATACTATTTGGCATGGTAGACAAACCTAAAATACGTGTACACGAGGACAAGAAATGACGAGCATAATCATATGTATGAAAACCGATGAGATCAGAATTCAATACTCCGTTAAGTACTTCTTTACGTACAGGCAAAATCCTATTTTGCCAAAATCATTTCAAGTCCACATTTAATAATGAGTATTAGATGAAAGAATTTATACATAAACTTTTTGTTTATAAAGAATAAAACTTGCCGATATATTTCGCTGCTTGGAAATGGTGTATGTAAAAAGAATCCAATTTTTACATTGGATCCACGATCGCCCATCCGTTCTCTTAACATACTAGGCAGTAACATTAAATGATAATCTTGTACCCAAACCAAATCACCATCTTGTACAATGTCATTAATAGCATCAGCAAAAAGTCCATTGACTTTTTGATAAGCTTCCCAATCTTCTTGATCAAATGAAATTTCACCAGGATGATAATGAAACAATGGCCATAAAATAGAATTAGAAAATCCATTATAATGTCGATCTGCTATGTCTTCATCAACGAAAACTGGTAAACAAGATTGTTGTTCCAATTTAGAAGCAACAATTGATCTTTCTTCTTCTGGCACATTGATACCTAATAAAGTTTATAGGTCATTGATATCGATAAGATATACAAAAATTTGGGATTTAGATGCATGTTTAAATAAATCAAGCTTGGAAAAGTTATAAATGCGATACGATATATCCTTATAAACATTTCACTATAATTTATTTTAATTCTTAAAAAATAATTTTTACTCTTAATAAATTAACTCACCAGGCCAGCCAATCCAGGTAAAACTCATCATTTTCTTTAATCCACTTAGAGCGGTTACCAACCCACCCGAAGACATTTTAAGGGAATAGTCTGTATCTGTCTTCGTAATGGTAATTGGCAAACGATTTGAGACGACTAATAACCTAACCTTGCTGTCTTCAATAGGTGCAACAGGTGATGTGCCGTTAACAGATTGCGACATGATTTATTTGTTATAAAATCGAATTTATTTTGCCAATTTCGAATTGAAAATTATAAGAATGAATTATATATAGATAGCATCGAATCTAAAATATGCATGATGCAGATCTTTTTTTTTTATTTTCAACTGACGAAAGCTTTACGTATTCTTTTTACTTTATTTAGTGTAGGAGATACTTCTTTTATTCTAGGGCGTAATAGTTATTTCCTTTATTTCATAATTCATATTTTTTAAAGCTAAAAACCATGTGAATTTATTAAAAATAAACTTTAAACCGGGTAACAATGAAGATGGGCGTGATAAAGTTTTCATTCGATGATGTATGTAAAAATCACTTTTCGGTAAAAAAAATTATTATTTTTATTTCACAAAATAAAGAAAGCGATTACAAAGATACTTTATAATATAATAGCAGATAGAATCAAAAGTAATACAAATATAAAACTGTAATCTAAGTCACCATGAAGTCTGGTGGAAATAAGTGAAGAAAAATACGACAAAAGGAAGTGAAGCACTACCCTGTCCGCATTTTTGATATAACCAGATGTTAATACTCTGGTGACCGCCAGTCATATGAACAATACAATTTTTCTAATTTGAATACTTTATTATTTTCTGAAAAATACGATTAATTTTATCTAAATTTAATCAGTTCATTTTCTTCAAGTAAAACTTTGGTATTAACTAAATTATTTTATTAAAAATTCTATTGATCATATTAAAGTATTTGCTTAAGTTGGATTTCTTCTACTAGTTCTATAAAATAACAATTATATTTATCTTTAATTAGGCTATATTTGAATATTTCTTTATCTTTAAATAGATACATGAATATATTATCAGAAATATTTTGATTGCAAAACATTCCTTTTAATAGCTAGTTGAATAGAGTTTAATATTTTTTAATAAAGAATTACAAGACTAATTTCATAAACATCGCATTATTTTTTAAATGTTATTTTTATTACCGTCTAGCACTGCCTAAAGTATCCCCAAAGACCCGAGTATTTTACTCAAGCTTAGTTCTGGTCCCCCTCATATAATTCACGAAATACATATTTATTGCGCAGTAAATGAAGGCCCTAATGAATTAAGGAATGATCAAAGAATCTGTAAAAATTTCTGATTTCACGTGATAATTAATTTTAATAAGCCAATAAAAATTAATCACATTTTTACATATATCGCAGAAAAAAAAAAATCTGTTCTATAAAATACAAATTCTATAACCACTTGTAATATTCACGTTCTGAATAGAAGCTAACACAAGTTAGTTAAATATAATTACTTTATTGTAATATACTATATCTATATCTTTATTATTGTTGAATTTGACTCTTTCTGCTTGTTCAAGTGGAATAAATATCGTCGGCAGATGGTGAATCAAATTCATTTTCAGATTCCATTTGTAAGCGCTCATTAAATGATCTTGTTAATTCATCAATAGATAATGGTAGATACTCATAGCAATAGATGTATTTTGATTCCAACTTTGTAAAACATTCTTGATGGTACGCATGTCCATAGATGAGTACATATCCACAATTATTAGAAATATTGTCACAGTAATAACAAAATTGTTCTTGACTTGGTGGATGAGCCCATGGGTAGTGCTCCAATAGGCAATCTTTTAGTAAGTGGTGGGAGATAACAGTATACTTTTTTAATTCTTTCTCCTTCTATTTTTCTCTCTGCTTTTCCTTGATTAATCCAAATTTTCTCATAAAATTGTAGAAGAAATATTGCTGTACGCTTTGTCATTGAATTCAGATTCTTTTTCGTATATGGATATGATCTTTTGGATGCAAAAGACTCATTATCATTCTGATGATAATCAATGAAAATTGACTAACCATTTTATACCATAAGTTCAGATCAGAGCTATTTAAAAGATAGGCCATTAAATTTCTTATTTTATGTCAGAATTGTTCCTTGTTTTCAAAAAGAAGGGAAATTACATTCTGTTATAAATTTATATTCCTTAATATTAACATTTCAAAATGTAAAGTTTGGAATTAGTCAAATTAATGGTTTATCTTAATAATTTCATGGTATCTATAGATCTGAATTAAATATATTTTCATATTCCTTTAGCGAAAGATCAACACCCATATTTTGCCTTTGACTTCTAAGAAAAACATTATTGCTTTACATATCTTTTATTTGGTCTATCAGTAAGCCTGAGAATTTTTATCAAAGCAAAATAGAGTGTTATGTTTACATCTTCAGGTATCATGGTTTGTGAGGTTTAATTTGTATTTTTAATTGTTATATTTTGTTTTTTGGTTATTCTATTATTATAATAATAGGGGTGAGGTTACAGTGCAATCTTTCTTGCGAAGACACAATTGTAATAAGAAAATCTTAGAAGAAAAGTTGGATCATAAGCATTTAGCAGACTTATTATGCCATACCGATTTTTATGAAGTATTATACTTATTAGCCTGTGGCAGTCTGCATAAAGTAGACCTTACAAAATTAGTATCAGATGAATTTAAACTTCCTCAGATTATTATATTGATAAATATTTTTAGTTTTTCAGTTTCTTTATTTTTTTATTAGAAATATCAATTTGCAACAACTTGAATTTCTTGTATTAGGTGTAATATTCTCCAGATAATATTTTTAAATTTTAAAATACTGCTAAATTTATTATTTTCAACTTTAAATATGAAAGATAGTCTTGATGATATGTAAGAGAAATTTAATAATACCGAAAAGAAATAACTATATTTGTTTACAATAGGAATTCAGGTAAATAACTATAATAATTTAAATTATAAAGAATTTGATAACAAAAAGCATATTTAATAAATTTCTTTTTTAATAGCAATATAAGTTTGAAATTCGTGTTTATTTAATGAAAAGACATGATGTTTATCGATTTTATCTTATCAAAACATTCTGCCTTTTCTTAATATTTACAAATTTTAATAATAATTTACATATTAATTTAAGTTGGGTTTGAAATATTTGAGTTTGTATAATAAATACTTATGAATTAACATTTTTATTTGTTGCTTAATAAAAACATCAAGTTTAGTTTGCAGGAATTGGTGAATGACTTATTTGATAAGCTGGTTAATAATGAAGAAATAGGTTCGACTATTCAGCAACCATTTAACAGTACAAACTGATCAGCAACCTATAATTAATTTTAACAGACTTTTATATATCAAATACTATTGCTCTGAAATGGTATTTGCACTATCTTAAAAACACGTCACAACAACATAAATACTTCAAAAATTTGCTAAAAAAAGGTATTACATTACCTGGGTGTATTTTTCAAAACCAGTAAGATCAAGGTATGCCAAAAAAAAACTAAAAAAGAAAAATAAAAAAATATATTTTTTTTTTGTTATTTTGTTAATTTGGTAAAGAAAATAATATCTGATATATATTTTTCAATAGTGTAAAAAAACCTTGTAAAATTTGCAAAATTCGTGTATAAAAAATCTTATCTTAATTAAAATATAAGGTGGGATGGTGACTTCCTTCAAGGTAAACTTATTAAATTTTATATTGAACAGTAAAAAAATTTTTTTTTGTGGCTTATTCACATTTAATATTATTGATTAGTGAGTTATCGTTACATTTAAATGTGATTTTGTAGGATAAAATCAATATCAAAATATGCCAATTAACGTAATTCATATAAAATTTGTGCTAGATCTACAAATTAATTTTGTACCATTGAGTGATGGATTGGCAATTAAAATTTTTAAATTTGATAATAGAGAAAATGCAAATGAGTATAACTCTCCTATCTCTCCATGTACAAATAATTTTTCTGATGTAGATCTTTTTTGCATTATAAATTTTATGATTCAAAATATTTTCTTATTTATAATTGGTCAACCTGACCAACATTATTTTACAGAGATTACAAATTTAATCCAACTAATTTGTTTAAATCTTTTAAAAACAAAGCTAGAAATTATCTTGCGCATAGGATCACATGATTAAAAGGGAGATGGAATGATAAAAAACTGCATAGATTATTGGCATTAACTTTAAAAATAGTTATATATTTGGATAAGTTTAAAGAATATAAATATAAATATCATTTCAGTGCTTATAATATTCATTGAGAACAATTTGTTTTATCTTTTATATATTTTATTGGTATATACAGTTAACCTTTGTTATAATGAACCCTAGGTTCCAGATCTCAACTTCGCTACAGGGCTATAGTGAAGATTTTAAGAGATTTGATTGGTTAATTCGTTATAGCAAGGGGAAATTTATTATAGTTGTCTGAAAAATTCACTATATCAAGGGTTCGCTATATCAAGGTTTAACTGTAATAGGAGATGAAAAAGTATTCAAGCCATTAAAGGAATTTAAACAAAAATTGGAATCAGAATTTATAGAATGGTGAATTCCAGTGAAGAGAAAGCATAAGAAGTGCAAGAAAAATGAAAGTATAAGGAAAAAAAGTCTAAAAGATATAGATCTTAGAAAATTATTAGATTTTTCTTTATACATGATGAGTAAATTGAAGTCTGATGATAAAAAACAGTTAAAGCAAATGGTACAATTAATTGTAAATATAGACAATGCATTTGTAAAACATCTGAAAAGATCAGAAATCTCAAAAGAATGAGTGCGAAAAAGTTAAAAAGTTCATAACTCTAATGAATTTTTGATTTGATATAGTGTTTCTCAAATGATTGTTATAACATATAGAGCTCTGAATGGGCCAGGTCAATTGAACCTGAGTGACCTGACGGATTGACCTGAAAAATTTGGGTCAGGTAGTAAATTTAATAACCTGACCTTGGGTCAGGTTAATCACAAGTTGGGTACTTGACCTGACTCATTGACCGATATATTTTAGGTCAAAAAAAGACGTTTCAGCATTTTTTATATATAAAAATGCCAACCCATTTTTTTGACCTGAATCTGACATTTAAAAATAATAATAATAAATGTCTTTTTAAATAAAAAAAATGCCAAATCTGATATTATTTCATGAAGTAAATCAAAAAAAACATTTTTTTTAATGAAAAAACGCCAAACCTGATGTTATTTCATTAAATAAATCAAAAAAAATCATTTTTTAATGAAAAAATGCTGAACTCAATGTTATTTCATTAAATAAATAAAAAAACATTTTTTTAATGAAAAAACGCTAAACCTGATGTTATTTCATTAAATGAATAAATAAAAAACGTCTTTTAATGAAAAATACTGAACCTGACATTATTTCATTAAATGAATAAAAAAAAAGTTTTTTTAATGAAAAAATGCTGAACCTGACGTTATTTCATTAAATGAATAAAAAAAAAGTTTTTTAATGAAAAAATGTATAACCAAACATTATTTCATTAAATAAATTAAAAAAACGTTATTTCATGAAGTAAATCAAAAAAATGTTGTTTTTAATGAAAAAATGCTAAGCCTGACGTTGTTTCATTAAATAAATCAAAAAAAATGTTTTTTTAATGAAAAATGCCGAATCTGACATTATTTTATTAAATGAATAAAAAAAATGTTTTTTTAATGAAAAAACACTAAATCTGACATTATTTCATTAAATAAATAAAAAAAAAAACATTTTTTTAATAAAAAAGTCGAATCTGACGTTATTTCATTAAATGAATAAAAAAAATATTTATTTAATGAAAAAATGCTGAACCAGACGTTATTTCATTAAATGAATAAAAAAAATGTTTTTTTAATAAAAAAATGTATAACCTGACATTATTTCATTAAATAATTTAAAAAAATGTTTTTTTTAATGAAAAACATATAACCTGACGTTATTTCATTAAATAAATCAAAAAAGATGTTTTTTTAATGAAAAAAAACTGAACCTGTCATTTTTTATTAAAGGTAGAGAAATCGTTATAATTAATTTTTATTATAGTAAAATGTCTAAAAAAAAAAAATTCTGTAATACGATTTTCATTGCAATACCAACTTTTATAATACTTAACGAAAAAGAATAAAATTTACAGCTATAGGTCTGAACTACTATTTTTTAACTTAAAAAGATATATTCGTTTAAAAACTTTTTGAAAAACTTTCGTATAAAGTTTTAAAATGGTCATGAATGTCTATATGTTTTTGGCGAATGTGAAATAAAGAAAATTATTGGGTTCCACATTTTTGGTTCATTTTTAAGTTGACGCATCATATAAGTCTTTTCTAATTTTAAAACCAAATTTTATTACATTATTTTATATATTATTTTATAAAATATACATATATTTATCTTCGAGAATGGCAAAGCCACATTTTCCAATTTTTTTTCATTACTATTGCAGTTACACCTTCAATAACACCAACTATGTAAATATTTATTTGCAATATATTTCCATTTGGATTTGACTGGTACAAGTTTATCATTATTTTTACTATTCCACGTATTATAAGCCAGTCTAGCAAGTGCTAAGCGTCTGCTTTTGTACAGACAATTTTTTTTTGTGTTTTATAATAAATATTCAATGAGATAAGCTCTTCATTATCACACTTAAGTTGACAATAAATCTGTATGATATCTTTTGGTGAAATTAATTTTTCACTTTCATGCAGCTTATTTATTATTTCTTCAACCACCTCTACCATTTTGATAGCATCAGTTTTTACATCAATTTCATGTACTAGTTCAGCTTGTACATATAAGCAGTTGTCATAATGTGCATATAGAGGACTTAAATTATCACCATTCCATGCAAAATATTCAGCAAGCATTTGCTCTTTACAGATATATTGTTCTTCATAAAAATGAACAACTTCAAATATTTTTTCACATGCTTTGGTAAAGTATTCTTTTCTTTTATTTGCCTCAAAACTATCATTCATATCTTCAGTTATACTATAAAATATATTTTTAATTAAATCATAATATTAATTAAATTTCTTTACACAATTAATATTTATGATTCTCTACTTTGTATTATAATTGTATAATTAGTGCAAATATCATGGCGGGTATAAAAAATTATACACTTCACGGAATTATGATATCTTACCGCTCTTACAGTTTCTTATACAAGATTGCCTATTTTAAAGGGTAAGATTAGTTTTATTAATAATGCTATTATATTTATTTCTTTGATATAATAGTAGTATCTTACCTATATATACTCAATGGAAAGGAATAATGTATGGAATAATGTATTACCAAACGAACTTTTTTACCATTAAGACCCATATCAAAAGCATTAGTTGCAATCATAAGTTGGATTGTATTCTCTTTCCATGATTTCAATTTTTTTTTTTTCTTCACTGTCCAAGGAACTATAATATACAGCCATTGGTAATCCAAAGTCAAATTTTTTCTGAAGTTACTTATAAACATCATCACATATTCATACTGTTAGACAATAAATAATGCATTTCCATTCATTTAATTCTTTTAATAAGGTAATAATTTCTCCAATGGTTTTTTCCTTAATACTTTTAGGATGCATTTTCATTGTAAGTTCTGAACGTAAAAAAGATAACCCTCAAACAAAAGTCACATTATTTGAAGCAAGTCCGAGATTCTCCAAAATTAGATAAGCATCAGATTCCTTGCAAGTTCCCGAATAAGATAATGAATTATTAATATTTGAAGAAGAAAATAGTGAAATAAATTCTGAAAGTAGTGCAATTAGTAGTTCTACTACTATTACTGATGATGATAATGAAAATAATATGAAGAAAAAGATAATGAAAAAGATAATGAAGAAACAGAGTAAAAAGATGAATAAGAAGAAAAATCAAGAGAAAAGGGAAAACTGAAAAGAGTAAGAAAAAGAGAAAACCAAAAAAAGTAAAAGAAAGAGAAAGAAGAAAAAGAGGAAGAAGGAGAAAGAGAAAAAGGAAAAGGAAGAAGAGGAAATGAAATAGAATAAGAAGATAATAAAAAATTGAAAATAAACAGAAAAGACATAAAAGAGAAATAGAAACAGAACTTCCATTATCTCTTCAATTTAAAAGATTCTATTATTCAAATTCTTTGCATAAAGCATCCATTAATTTACTACAAACAATATATTTATCTAATGAATCTTATACTTCATATTTAATATTCTCTTTATTTTTTACCTCTGATATTTTAAATATTATAATTAGTAATACAAATAAATATGCTATATTTAAATTAAGTGAAGGAGGAAGGCTATGGTAAAACTTAACTTTATTAAAGCTAAGAATTTTTATTGTAATGTTAATCTATATAGGTATTTTTAAATTGCCATCTATAAAGGACTATTGGTAAAGTAAATATCATTATCCTAAACATAATATTACAAAGTTTAGATTTGAATAAATAAAAAGATATCTTTATATCTCATCTATTACTGATGATTAAAATAATAAGACTTTTTTTTAAAATTAGAACTACTAAATACACATATCAAAAACATATTACAAAAACATTATATTCCTTTGTCTAATGTTTTAGTTGATAAAATGATTGCAAGATTTTCTGGTCGCAGTTTATATACCTTTTGAATCAAAAATAAACCAATACTTAAAGGATATAAAATTTTTCTTTATGTGATGCTGAGTATACATATTCATTTATATTTTTATCACGAATATTAAAAAATCCAATAATTGATCAAATTTCCAATCTAAATTATACTAGTTGCCAAGTATATTATTTAATAAAACAACTACCTTTACACAAGTCTTTTAATAATATATATATGAACAACTTCTTTTCTAATATTAATTTATTTAAATTTTTAAGAAATCACAATTATGGTGTATGTGGTACAGTAAGAATAAATTCTTCCAAATTTCTAAATAGTTTAAAAGTAAAAAAGAAATTAGATTGGAATACTCTTTCTGGAATTGTAGTAGATTAAATTTTATTTGTACTGTAGATTGATAATGAACTAGTAATAATATTATTAACAATACATGAAATTGATAATGGATTGCAAAATTGTATAATTTGTGAATGTCATTATTCAAGAATAAATAATACCAATTTATCAACTGTAAAAAGAATTTTTGGAGATAACTCAAAAAAGAATTACCTATACTAAGATTATTAATGATTATAATCATTTTATGGGAGGTATAGATATAATAAACCAATATAGATCAAGTTACATAATACAATTTCTTGCATGACGCATATAGGTTCCTTTATTTTTTTGGCTGCTAGATATATCAATAATTAATTTTTATTTAATTTATAAAATCAAAATGGGAAAAAAGCAAACTATAAAAATTTTAGACTTTCAATTATTCTAGATTCAATTAAAAAAGCAATTAAAGATCAACAATTAGCAAAAAAATACATAGCTAGAGTAGAATCCCAAACAATATATATAAATGTAGGTCTTGAGTTTGCTTAGCCAATATATAAAAATTTTTCCTATATGAGATTTATTATTGCTTATTTGATAATATAATTTTAAAATAGTCAGATATAATTATACGTAGTAGAGTATTAAATTATTAATAGTCAGATATATATTTGCGTAGCAGAATAAATTTTTTTTAATATATATATAATATAATATATATTTTACATTTTTACATTAAAAAAATTTAATAAAATATGTAAACAAAATTATAAACATATTTGTGTAAAAAAAATTTACTATTTTTAATACAAAGATTAAGTTAATTGTATACATAATACAGGGATCATTTTTAGACGTGATCATGTAATGTGTTTTTGATAAAACAAATACGCATCCATATAACATTTAAAATATAAATCATATACTGTACATGTCTATATAACATTTTACAATTTTGATGATTGCATCCTGCTGGGTGGATATAGCTCATGATAATTTGTTTGTATGGTATATAAACTTAATATCAATAAAGCATATATAAATCATTAAAAAAAAAAAAAAAAAAAAAAAAAAAAATTTTGCTACCAAAAACTTGGCAAGTTGGCAGGTTGGCGATATAAGAAAAAATTTTTATTCGATATATTATGTATATATAATTTTCACGTTATATGCGATGTGTTATAACTATTATGTGTTTTATTTATTTTTGATTTGGCGCTAACAGGACCCTGCTTACTTATAAGATAGGTCAACCCAGGCCTAAAGTAAAAACTATTAGTAAAGGGCTAATTTTCTATGGTAACCTTTATTATAAGTAAGCAGGTCCTGCACTAACCTACAAACTTGGCAAGTTTCTGACAGCAAAATTGCTAAGTATTTCGCATATTTTGAATTTTGCTGTAAAAATATAAATTTAAATGAGAGCAACAGGTGGGTGAAAAGAAAAAAACAAGTGGGTTTCTGTTTTTTTATAAGTTTACACTATAATTTTTGTAATAATCAATAAAAGTTATTTTATTTTTACTTAGAAAATTTTTTAAAAATATTTTTTTTGATAAATTTTACAGTAAATTTTAAAAATAAAAATTCCATGTATTGGTAATGTTACAAAAAATATGAATAAATCCATAAATATCTATTCAATCATGATAAAAATTTATATAAGTAGATTCGAACCTGCTAAACAATTTTACTTAAAAAGGTTTTGGATATTTCCTTTGACTAAAGTGCCTAAATTACGCTCTGAAGTTACAGATATTAATAAGAAACATTTATAAGTTGTAATCTTACAAAAAAATAATAATAGCTTTATCCATACATTATTTCAAAAATGTTTGTTTTTTTAGTTTTTTTTTATATACATATTTTATAAAAAAAATTATATATAAATATATATATATCATAAAATAAGTTGCTTAGCAGTGTAAAAAATTTATGGGTTAGATAAAAATTTGCTTAACAGATATGAAAAATATTTGTTTAAATTTTTTATCTGATTTATATATATATTATTTGGGGTTCTGTTAAAGTAAAAAAAAAAAAGTACAAAAACTTACTAAAAAATCATATATAACAAAAAATTTTGAATTACTTTCAGGTAGATTAGCTGAAGCTAGAGCTCTATATAAGTCAGATTAGATTGGATTACCTAGTTAACCTGAACTGAAATTTTTTTTCAGGTCAGGTCAAATTGGGTAAACCGTTCTAATCTGACCTGACCAATTTTAACCTGAAAGTATTCGGGTTACTTTGAGCAATTCAGGTTACCTGAAGTTTTATTAGGACCCCGGATATCTCCAAAACAGGTCATAAGTCACACTTTCGGCAGATTGGCCCATTTTTCAGGGCTCAAAAAATCGTTTTTTGTAAATATCTCGGCATCCAGTGGTCCAATTTTGATGAACTTTTTTTTAAATTGTAGAGCTAAATGAGGGCTACAAAATAAAAAAAAGTTCATTAAAATTGAATTACTGGATGCTGAGATATTTACAAAAAACGATTTTTTGAGTTTCAGCAAAAAGGTGTATTTTTGGCCAAAAGTCCATTATGACCTTTATATTAGATATCCGGAGTCCTGTTTTATTATTATACTGAATATTTCAAGTAAAAAAATGTTTTGTAACATTTTTTTTTATTAATTATACAAAAAACGTCGGGTTCAAGGATCCCAGCATTTTACTTTTTATTTTATATATATAAATGCTGAAACTATTACTTAGCTATCAGTGCCTATTTTTTTGATTACCATATAATAATCCTGTAATGTATATTTTGTAATAATTGACAATATAATTGCTATTATAATTTAATATATATTAAAATACCATATTACAATGAAATGTAAAAAAATAATAAGAAGAAATAAAAATGGTCAGGAAGAACTCTTTCTGCTAAATGTCTAGCCGTTTATGACTAAATAATATAATTATATTATTTAGTCATAAACGGCTTAGACTAGGTTATTTAGTAATAAAATAATCTAACTATAACTAAATAATCTAAGTATGACTATAAATAATCTAAATA